TCCTGAGGAGGCCAACTCTGTTGGATCGCACTGGAAGGTGGGTGGCAGTAGGTGGTCTCGCAGGTATCCTGGCCCTAAGCCATGGAGAGCTTTAAAGGTCATAATTAGTACCTTGAATCGCACCCGGAAGTCAACCGGCAACCAGTGCAGGCCGCCTAAAAGGGGCACAGCATGGGAGCACCTAGGTACCCCCAGGATAACTCGCGCAGCCGCATTCTGGACCAGTTGAAGCCTCTTATATAAGAATGCCTAAACAACCTTGACGGGTACAATGAACTAGAAGCAAGGGTAGAGTTCAAAAACATGGCAAATTTATTCCATGCAACCTATACAATACAAGAATCTGACCTACTAACAGTCAATGTGAATTGGTATCACATTATCTAAGAGTCAATAGACTTCAAGGGGGGGCTGGACTTAGATTTCTCTTGGAGGCCTAGGTGCTGATGATGCCTTTGGATTCAGCCTGGTCATTTCCTACAAATCTCTTAAGTCTCCAAATTTGCTCAGCGATTCAAGTTGCCTACGCTGACAATTTGTTGTATTTTTTTCCCAAACTTGAAGTTCCAAAGGTGCTCTTTCAAGAGGCAACTGGACTTTCTGGTTTTTCGCTTCTCACCAAAAGAAGCTTCTTCATCTCATTCCAGTTGCCTCTTGAAAAAGTACCTTTGGGACAACCATGACCATTTTTGACAGGCCCAAACCCAAAGACGACCCAGCAAAATCCAATCAGGTCCAATCCTTTATTTTGCTTACAGCCAATGGACAGAATCTTGCCAGACTAAAGCTATAACCTTCTAACCTACAAGATACAGCATATCCTGAGAGATTCTAGGGTGTGGCTACCTTGAACATCTTCCCTCCTCCTCCATTCAGCTCGGGGCAGCCCCAGTCTCTTAATCAGGGCCTCTCTCTGGGAAAAATCTGTGTTGCCAAAACTCCCCCACTGCTCCCTCAGGTGCATATTCCATCAGTCTCTCTCACACTCTGCTTTTGCTAGCTTACGTGCTTCTTTGTCTCTTTGATCCATTATCTGGCTTTCTATACAGTAAGGAGGCTTGTATCTTGAGCCAAAAATAAAACCTTATTAAGTGAATCATGTGAATGGTTAAAGAGGTGCTTCAAAAGACGAGCCTTCCAAAGCCAACTAGAGTGGGACTCCAATCCAGTTTCCAAGGACACCTATTTCATAGTTTGAACAAGACACGAATGAATGTGGTGCTGTCTGGTAATCTTCATACTATAAAAAGATTTTTGAGAAGGTAAGCACCTTCAGAAGAACTTCTCTGGCAGATCCAATAGGTTCACAATGATAGATGTAGTCCTTCTCATTGATTTAGGGTTTTTTTTTCTTTTTTAATTTTATTATTATTATTTTCCTTCTACAATACCTTACAGTCATTATATCAACATTATTATGTCATCATACCTGTACATGTAAATATTATTTCGCTTCTATGTTTATAAACCTTTATACACAGTTCTATCTATCTATCTATCATCTATCTATCTATCTATCTATCTATCTATCTATCTATCTATCTA